AGACTCTAAACAATGTCTCCCCAACATTTTTGAGCCTGTGGACACCTTTGGGATTCTTCTGACTTAATGTGGATGGTGCGGCCACAAAATGGCTGCTGCAGGACATGGAGCCAACCACAAAATGGCTGCCGCAGCTTCCCTTCAGTCACACCGTGAAGATCCTTGTGCAGTGCTTGCAGTGGCTGCCAAAGCAAAGTTTTTAAACACCTGCACAGCCAAGCCAATCCCCAATGGCCGATCAGAAGCCTTGCTAGGCAAAAGCCCCATCCATTTCTAAAAATACTTGGCAGGCACCAGGAAAGGTGGCAGCGGGCACCCGTTGGCGACCCCTGCTCCAAACCTTTCCAGGGTGCAGGCTGCCTTGTATTGGCCCGGATCCCTCTTTTGCCTTCTGACAGCCTGCTGCTCTCTCTTTCATGTTCAGTCTCGGGGGTCCTCTTAGAACCAGCAGGTGGCGACTGGCCTTTCATAGCGGAGGGCCCCAGAGTCTTGCCAAACAACATTGACCTTGGATTCTAAAACAGTTTTGGTTGAGGGCAAAAGCAATGTGCAAAAGCCCTCTGTCCAAACCCCACTCTCGCTCTTGAAGGGCCTTTACATTTCTTCTTCAGACCTTTCGTCCAGAGTTAATCTCCGTTGCCTTCTTGAGCATCACCCACTGCCATCTGGAGCCCCCCTTCAACCACCACCTGTTGGAAAAGCCACTTCCTGTGACAGACAGCTGTGCCAAGAGAGCCAGACAAGAGGGAGGTCTTTGGGGATGTCAAGAAATTAATCCTTCAGTCAATGTTTGCATAAGGCAGACCTTATGTTAAACTCTGAGCATGTAAGGGAGTTGAAATGACCAAATGGAAAATAACAGGTTGTTGATATGGAAGAGTTGGCAATCGACCTTGTCACCTCTGAATAGCAATTCAGGTCTAAAGACAAACCATTTGTGGGGTGGTATTTTACACGACACAAGGATTGGGTTAGGTTTCAGATCGCCTCTCCATCCCGTCATAAAGTGGCTCCCCCCTGAGCCATTTGTTGTAACAGGTTCATGTTGAAATGACTTCACTGGTCTGATTTTTGATTGGGCAGGAAGGCCCCCCCCCCGCCCTCTCAAATCTTAGGCCTCAGAACAGGCCGTTTCATTGTTCTTTTAACACGAGGGATGGTAAGCTAAGCGTAGGGTGGACCAGCCTCCTGCTCTCTGGACGAAGAAACTGACTGACTTCAACCCAGAATGGTGACATCTGGCAGCTTTAAACGAACGTCTTACTGTGTAGCTAGAACCTTAAAATGTAGCTTGCTTGTTTTATTCCTCTCTGCTATGTTCTTTGGAAACCATCCTGCACTCTTTAATAAATACCCTTTGACTAGACTTGGGTGTTCTGTGCTTCACGCGCTTCAGTCTAATAGCAGTACCTTAGACCTTAAGAGTCCACCCATCAGGTCAATTGTAGTGGAAACTCATTCTGCAAGTAGCCTACCTTATAGGGCTGACTTTCTTAATTCCCAGTAAGGTTCAAGGGGCTGGTGGAAGACTACCAAGACTGGTGAGCGTGTGCACGCCCCCCCCGGGTTTTGTGGTTTCGTGCTCTGCCTGCCTAACCCTAACCCCCTTCAGATGATCTGTGGCAGCTTCCATCATACAAGTCCCTCCCCCTTTCCCTGCCCAGCTTCTCCTGAGGATCAAGTCACATGACTATCAGCTAGGCTTATGTGAAGCTAGGCTCCCCACCCTAAAATAGTGCGTCAGTTTCTCTTGGAATTGTCAACCTCCAGGTGGGGCCTGGAGATCTCCCAAAATGACATCTGATCTCCAGGCTACAGAGACCAGCTCGGGGGGGGGGGGGGTGGACTCTCTACGGCTGAGATCCCTCCCCTCCACAAACCTTGTTCTCTCCATGCTCCACCCCCAATCTCCAGGAATTTACCAGCCTAGAGTTGGCAGCCCTAGCTTCTCTCCTATGCCTGTACGAGAATGTGTGAAAGAATGACTTTCTTAGCTTGGGGACCTCCATCTCTGCCCCAGGCCCTTAGTGATGGAACCACCTGCCCAGGGATGTGGTGGGTTCTCCTTCCTTGGAGGCGGTCAGGCGGAGGTTGGACAATGATTTGTCAGAGGTTCTTTCAGTCATCCTGCATGATGCAGGGGGGGTTGACGGGATGGTCTTGATGCCCCTTCCGAGTCCTATGACTTTGGCACATGCAAACACATGCTTATTCTCATGAGCTCAAGGTTGAGCACTCAATGAAATTGCTGAGCAGTCGGGTTAGAACAGATAAAAGGAAGTCCTTCTTCCCCCAAAGAGTGATTAACACATGGAATTCACGGCCACTGGAGGTGGCGGCGGCTACAAGCATGGACGGCTTCAAGAGGGAACTAGATAAGCATGTGAAGCAGACGTCCATCAGTGGCTATTAGCCACAAGGTATAGATAGGGGCTCTGGGGCAAGTGATGTTCTGTCTTCTTGGTGCTTGGGGGGGGTCAACAGTGGGAGGGGCTTCTAGTGTCCTGGCCCCACTGCTGGACCTCCTGATGGCACCTGACATTTTTGGCCACTGTGTGACCCAGAGTGTTGGACTAGATGGGCCATTGGCCTGATCCAGCATTGGCTTCTCTTCTGTTCTTATGAGCACCTGAGTACAGAAATATTCAAGGACCCAGTTTGGCATGCTGGCTGGAGAAATGGCAAGAATGAGGCCCCAAAGAAGTTTTGAGCTGAGACAGGTGGTTGAGCTACCCACTGAGCACCACCCTTCTTGGCGCGGAACGGCAGGCTTGCTGCCTGGCAGTGCAGGGGGACTGACCTGAAGCCTTTCCTTGGTGAGGGAGCTCTGCAGGAGTCCTGCAAGGCACACACAGCAGGCAGGAGTGCCTGGGCTCTCTGGAGGTCATGTATGAGGGGGGGGGGTCTGTGTGCTGGAGTGCCTGTACTTTCCTTCTCTAGCCAGCAAACCCAGTGGCGCAGGGAACCAGCATCTCAACTAATGTTTGGGGGAGCCTGTGACACATGACCAAGACACACCTGTGGCTCAAGTGTTCAGGATGGCACATGTGCTTTGCTCTATGATATAGAAAAGCCATGACCAGCAAGGGGTGAGCCTGATTCTACTCATGTCAGAGAGAAGAGTAGCCAAATGTGCATACACTGTTTAAATCCATGTGTTTTTACTCGGGTGTCCTAACCCTAACTCAGCCAGGCTAGATTTGTATCAGGACTACTGCTCCGTGCTCAACAAACCTCCCTACCACAATATTTTAATGGTTCAATAAATAGTCAGGAGAAAGGGGCCTTGTGAGCTTGAGATTTTACATATTTTTAATGCACATAAGCTCCTAACAGAGAAGCCACATGCAGGCACCACAGGTTATACTGACAGAGAATGAAGAGATCACAGGCGTTCATCCCAACTTTTCTTGCACAGCCAGCAGCTTCTTGCAAGGATGCAAGGAAACTCTGCACATGTCCACAGTGGTCCTTCAAGACACTTGCATCCACCTCTGTGTCTCCCCAGCCCCAACACTCCAGCCACGCGTGAATGTGAAATGCTTGGCCATTTCTTCTCCACTGTGCCAGGGGTAGTCCACACAAGGGAATATTGTATTGCTGCTTCCACTCCCTGCTGACTGGAAGGGCCCCATATCATAGGTTGAACCAGCCAAGGAGCTGGGGTCTGAATGCAAATCCTGTCCCACAAACCATGACAACTCAGACTACCCTCCCTTCCTTTTAACTGCGTCCGCCTCCGGCAAGGGATCCAAGCCCTACCCAACATTCCAAAATCCACTAGACCACACTTGGTCTTCTTTTCGTTTGAAGGCTCTCCAAAATCCGATGTCTCCTTCTGTGATTTCTCCACATAAGTTCGTCCCATGTCTGCCCTAGCTCTGATTAGAATACCCTCCATGGGTTAATCTTTCTCTTGAAGTCAGAAATCCTAGAATCAAAATTTCTTCTTTTCATAAGGAGAATCCTGTCCATATTTAAATAAGCCAAAAATGAGAGATCACGGGAGGAAGTGGAATTCCAAAAACAACATCCGTGACCAAAAAACCCCAAAGAGTCAATAAAGATAAGCTGCAAAAATGTTAACTGTAGTAATTTCTGTAGAAAATGTTCTTCTATTATCGCTCACACGCTAATGAATACTGCACAATGAACAATTCGTTTCACAGTATTTGCTTTATCTGAGCGTGTACCAATCCCAATTCTTATCAATCACTACTTATCATCTCTGTTATTAGAGAGTCAACATGGAATGTTTCCTTCAGGAGTTGATAAGTAGTGATTGATAAGAACTGGGATTGCTTCATGCTCAGATAAAGCAAATATTGTGAAACGAATTGTTCATTGTGCAGTAGTCATTAGCGTCAGTCCTAAAAGAAATCAACCCTGACTGTTCCCTGGAAGGCCAGATCCTGAAGTTGAAGCTCAAATACTTTGGCCACCCAATGAGAAGGGAGCACTCCCTGGAGAAGACCCTGATGCTGGGAAAGATTGAAGGTCAAAGAAGACGGGGACGGCAAAGGATGAGATGGTTAGACAGTGTCATCGATGCAACGAACATGAAATTGAGCCAACTTCAGAGGACGGCGGAAGACAGGAGGGCCTGGCAGGAGATGATCCATGGGGTCGCGAAGAGTCGGACTCGACTGTGCGACTGAACAACAACAAAGTCATTAGCGTGTGAGCGATAATAGAAGAACATTTTCTACAGAAATTACTACAGTCAGCATTTTTGCAGCTTATCTTTATTGACTCTTTGTTATTTTTGTCATGGATGTTGTTTTTGGAATATATTTAAATGATGGCAATTGGAGTGACGGGTTTTTTTCCGCCTCTGATTCTCGCATCCTGTTTCTTTTTGGCCCTAGCAGTCACCGTGATGCTAGCATGAAAGGGGTGGAGTTGCGGGTGGAGAACCAGGAAGTTCTGCTTTCACGATAAGGGATTTGGGCCTCCTGCCCCATTTCATAAGGTACTAATTAATGTGTGTATTATCTGTGTGCGTCAGTAGTTCTGTCTTGCTTGTTGAGGAAACCATGCGTGATGTGTGTGTGTGTGCGTGAGTATGCGCGTTGCAGAGGATTCCGGCACAAGATGATCTTAGGCAGGACACAGAACTACATCTCATGAGGCCAACAGGAAGCAGTGACTTCGTTTGCTGCTTCGTGGCAAGAGGGCAGGGGTACAACCTGGGGACGATGAAGGCATGGCTCTAGGTCTCCCTTACAAATGTCCCCATAGCCATGTTAACCCTATAAACACCGAAGCACCGCAGCAGCAGAGAATTGATAGGTGCCTGGAAGGTTCTGCACCCAACCCCTGTCCTGCCAAGTGATCCCCTGCACCCCCATCACCTGGACAAACAGAGAGGCTTCAAAGACATTGCCGGGTGCAAGCTGAGAGCTCCCCTCTGCTGCACATTCCAGGAGTGGTGGGCCGGCTGTCCTTCAGGGCAGGAAAACTTGCCCTCCCATTACTCTACTGTACCAAGGACACATCGCGAACTTCTGGGAGGCCCCCAGATCCCCCCCCCGGAATACTGTCTGAATGCTACTGGTGTAAGCTGGCAGACGCTGCAGGGTGCTTTGGGGTTTTAGGTTTTATCCATTATTCTGCTATTTCTCTTTGGAGGGTTGTTGGCTTCCTGCTGGGCCCCTGTGACACTGGATTTGACTCTGAGCAATTATGAATCTTCAGCCATGTGATGCTATTTTCAGTAAACCCCCCCCCCGCAGATAAACGATTAAATCTCTTGGAAATGTTGCAAGCCCCAAAATGGAGGGACCAGAGAATGAGGAATTTAGGAAATTTTCTTCCCCATTTGGCTTTGGTTGTCCTGATTTACAGGACTTCAGCTTAGAAAGGCAGGGGGTTCAGAAGAATTCTAATGAGGCCAGTTTATAAATTATGCAGTAGCAAACCTGGGTTTGTCACCAAATGTACGTCCAACAGTGAGCCACAGCCAATCCTGACTCTCTGATGTGTGTGCACCTGTATGATAAAGTGTTATTCCAAGCACCTGTTTGTTATGCTTACATTTTTAGATGTACACCTAGAAAGATACCTTGGGTATACATCTAAAAACAACAGCATGATGTGTGGACATGTGGAGGTCCAGTCTTCCGTCATTTGTGGCCAGAACCTGGTCTCCAGACATGAGCCTGCATCCCAGTCTGGGCAGCAGAGAACCTGGGCCGGGCTGCTTGGAAACCGGAAGACGACGAGGGTGGATTTAGGGAGCCCTCCCTGCCTGCCTGGCTGAGTTCAGGAGAGCTTTGATATTGGGTGGGAGTCACCTGAAAGGGCCCTGGGGAGACGGGTGCAGACGTGGAGGCCCTTCCTGCCCTCCATATTGGCTCATCCAAGGTGGTAGCAGAACGGGGGGCCAACACTGTAGGGGCCAGGTTGCTTGAAGTTGGCACGGGGGCAGGTGTGGAGAAGCGACGGACCTCGTAGGTCCTGGCGGTCTTGACGGGGGCTTGTTTGGCTGGGGTGAAAGACAAACGGGACTGCTGGGCCGGCTGGGCCGTGGAAGCCTGGGCAGCAGAGCCGGGAATCTCTCCAAAACAGAACATGGCAGACTTGAGCTGGTAAGGCTGGTGCCGCAGGAAATCAATGGCCTTGATCCCCGACTTCTGGCTAGGGGCCTTTTTCACTCTGCTGTCTGCTTTGCTGGCCTGAGACTTGCCGGCTGCCAAGGGATAGAATGGGGAATGCAGTGGGTTGTAAGCGATGGGAGGTGGGGCACGGATGTTGGAGGAGTACTTCCAAGAGGAAGGCAGGGAAGGAGTAGGGGATGGGCTCCGGGGCTTCGGGGCTGGTGTTGGCGCTGCTTCCACCACAAACTTGTCCATACGGCTCTGCCGCTTGGCGAAGAGCTCTGCCCCTTTCCCTTTCAGACATGAGATGTCGTGTGCGGGAGACGACCCGTTCACCAGCCCGCCAGAGGTCTTTGGTTGCTGGGGCTTAGGAGCTACTGGGGGCGGGTTCCTGAACTTGCGGGCAGAAGACTGCATGAAGTTGCAGGCTTCTGCCCCAAGACTGAGGAAGTCTTCCTCTGGCCCCGACTCAAAGCCTGCCCCATGCTGGTCACCTTTGGGCTTTTCATCCAGGTTCTGCACCAAGGAGAGCAGCTCTGGGTTAGGAGAATTCTTTTTCTTCTCCTCTGCTGACTTGAACATGGGTTTCTTGCTGCTCCGCCGACGGGCTTCCTGCAAGATGCCTGTCCGGGGCCCTGGCACAGCAATCCTCTGCTCCCTGGAGATGAGAGGCTCAGAAGCAGGCCGTGGAGTGGCTGGGGCTGTCGCGGTGGGGAGCTGGACTGGAGGCTGGCTAGGCTGTGGTGGGATGGGGCTGATGTACAAAGAGGAGGAAGCTGTCCCCTGAGCTTGTGGCGGGGACTTCGGAGTGGCTGCATCTTCGGCTGGTCTGGACGGATGGGACAGGTATATGGAAGCAGTGGAGGTTCTTGCTGTGTTGGGAGATGGCTTAGCTTCTGCTGGATTTCCACTTTGGAAATGTGTTACTGTTGGTTGCAGAGGGGTTGGCACGGTTGGGATATAGAGAGACACCAAAGTGCTCGCTGGGCTGGTTGGCTGCACTGCTGATGGAGTGGGAGGAAGTATGGTGGTCCCTAGAGAGACAGTGGAGAAAGGAGGCACAACTGTTCTCTGTCCGCCTTGGCCCTCTTTGTTCTTCCTCGGCATGGATGGTCTGAACACAACAGAGGAGGTCACAGGCCGCTGCCCAGAGAAACCAGGCGTGAAAGGCCGGGCAGACCTGTTGAAGATCCCTGTGGGACCTGGAGGGACCTGGGAACCTCCTCCACCACAGCTGGCCGTGGGAGACTGGAGCTGAACAGGGCTGGGTGGGGGCCACTGGCTGGAGACTTGGACAGCTTCCAAACGGACATTCAGTGGGGACTTCTCTTCCCTCTGCAGAGTAGGCATTTCACTATTCCTCACACTGGGTGTTCGCGAGACAGCTGGAGCTGGGAGTTGCTCCTCGGCCTTCTGGGCAGAGACATTCTCCAAAGTGTATCTACCAGCCTTCTGCCTCTGCTGCTCAAATAGCTGTGCCCCCCTGCCTGAGGCTTCACAGAGGCCCTCCTGAGGCTGTGTTTGATCCTGCATTGACTGTTCCTTGGGTTTCTCAATAGCTAGGTAGGTATTATCCCAGTCAGAGTGATTGGTTAAGCTCCGAGCGTCAGAGAAGCCTTCCTCATCAAACTCTGACTCACTGGTTGGGAAGACACCGTCCTCTTCGTCATAGCAACGGTCTTCGTCAACACTCCCAAAACTGACCAGGGTGTACTTCTTGGCCCTCTGCCTACGCTTTTTGAACATCAGGACACCCTTGGAATGGGGGTTGGGGGCATCTGTCAGCAGGGACGCAATGGTTCGACACTTCGTTTTGGCTTCTTTCACGTTCTTCTCCTGCATGCTCTCGCTGCGATGAAGCTCTGCAAGGGATGGGAAAAGACATAGTCAGAGCTCTGTGAGGAATCAGATTTCAAAGCCCCATGTGGAGGATCAGACCCCTTTTAATATCCGCTCCTCTCACAAGCCACTGCAGAAATAATTCCAGAAACTTCAGAAGCATTTCACCTCTTTAAAGAGAAAATAATTGAGATGTGTACCAAAATCGTATGTATGTTTTATTCTTTATTGCTTGTCTTCAGATTTTTTTTGTTCTTTATTCATTTCTATTAGTTTTAATGGGACATGTGAAATTCTCAGGTATTGTACCTTCCACCCCATAGGATTCAGCTTGCCAAACTATAGGCAGACTGGAGAAAGCATGCCTAGTTTTAGATGTTAAAGTCACAACACATTTCTGGCTCTTTATTTTCTTGTCCAATTGGTATGAAATACTCAGGGGTTATAGTCCTCATCCAATGGATCATCTTTACAGAACATCAGGGAAATAGAAGAAAGGGTCTCTCTTTGATGGGCAATTAAATTTCTCACTTACGGGGCAGATTACACACAGGGAGTATTTGGCAGCCCTAACAAAGGCAGGCACTAAATCATAGTATCTCACACAGCTGATCAAATGTAATGCAACATAAGAATAAGAGAGCCTATAAAAGTGCAGTTCCTTACGGAGAATTTACTGGATATATGCAGGGAATAGGCACATATAGGATCCAAAAATCACTTCCCAGTGGACCACTGAGCACAGAAGCCTACCAGAACACTCCTCTTTGGTGGAAAGATGGATAATCGACTGTTGGTTGATCAAGGTGTCTCTGCCCTTTCCACAGTCAGCTGGCTTTCTCTCTGCCCTCTCCTTCCACCCTCTTGCTGCCCTTTGTCAAACCCTGATCTAGGCCAGTTCATACACCAAAGGCCTTGTATTCATCCCACCAAATGTCTTGGAGTTCCATGCTTAGAAAATAACTCCCAGAAATTCAGGAATTATTCAGATCAGGACTGCAGGGCAGAGGGAGAAGTGGCCTAACGCTCCTGCGATGCCATTTTTCTCACCTGAAATGGCCCCAGAGGCCGGCTGTTTGCCCCATTGAGGAGACTTTGTGTGTAGCCATCGGTATATGTAATGTTTTCCCAGTAAAGCAGAGAGCCGGTCCTCAGGGCAGTTTTGGGTCAGGAAAACGGCACAGGGAGGTAGCTTAAGCCTCCTTTCCCTGCATGCTGCATGCTCCTTTCCCTAACCCGGCTTGCCCAAGAATTTAGTTCTGATGGAGCACAGAGCTCCTAGTGCCTGTCTGACCAGCAGCACCCATGGTGGGCACGGGGGTGGGGTAACGGGGCACAAGGAACATTTGATGTGTAAATTGGCCCTCCTGAAGTCACATCAGCAAGACACTAGAACACAGAGGATTAACCGCCTCTCATTATATCTAAATGTCATTAGAGTTTTGCTATGTGATTACTTACAATGTCTACGTTCAAGAAGCACAGATTTATATTAGTTTATATTCAAATTCACATAGCTAGAAAATAGCCCATGTTAAATTCAGTATGGGCCCTTCCTTCCTTCCTTTCATTTGGCTTGATCCCGAGCACTTCATTCAAGGAGCAGCAGTTTCCCTGTTCCTTGTCTTCCTCACTTGGATATCAGCCGTGGCTTCTGTAAAAGCACCCGAGATAAGAGGAAGCCATTCTCTCAAGGACCTCCTTCCCTCTCCTCCTAGGTGGCAGCTCTGCAAATGAAGGGCCACGCAGCGGTCCTTGTTGTGCATCCCGGAGTGCAGAATTTTTGCAAGAATTTCCCCTCAGGACTCTGTTCCAAATAGGAAATGGGTTGTTGTGATTAGCTCACAACCTCAAAGAAACAAAGTCACGCTAGAATCCAGTCCAAATTTGGGACAAGTTTCTGTGTGTTTGGTTCATTATACTATGAAATAAAGCCCTTCTTTTGGCCATTCTTCTCATCTCTTTTGCAAAGGATGTAAAGCTATTTTCAAAAGGTGGGGGAGGGGAGAAATCCTCTTGTGGATTAAAAGTGGGTTAATTAACGGGAAAGAGAGAGTGAGTATAGATGGGCAGTTTTCACATTGGGGATCTGCAGGGCTTGGTACTAGGTCCAGTGCTTTTTAACTTGCTCATGAATGATTTGGCTTTGGGAGTAAGCAGTGAAGTGGCTAAGTTTGCGGATGACACGAACAGTAAAATCCTAAGTAGGTCTAATCAGAATCCTTTTCAGGTCTATTCAGTGGGGCTTACTCCCAGGAAAGTGTTCTTAGGATTGCACTGCTAGTTGTACAGGGCAGTGAGAACCAGGGAGGACTGTGAGGTGCTCCAGAGGGATCTGTTGAGGCTGGGCGAGTAGGACTCAATGTGGCAAATATGGTTCAAGGTGGGCAAATGCAAAGTAATGCACATTGGAGCCAAAAATCCTAACTATAAGTATATGTTGATGGGGTTTGAACTGGTGGTAACTGATCAGGAGAGAGATCATAGAATCATAGAGTTGGAAGGGATCTCCAGGGTCATCTAGTCCAACCCCCTGCACAAGGTAGGACATTCACACCCACAGTGACTGCTGTTCCATGCCCAGAAGATGACAAAAACCCCTCCAGGATCCCTGGCCAAACCGGCCTGGAGAAAGATTGCTTCCTGACCCCAAAGTGGTGATCAGCATTTATTTATTTATTTATTTATTTATTTATTTATTTATTTATTTATTAGATTTTTACCCCAATCTCCCAGCAGAGCTGGCTCAGGGCGGTTTACACAACCAGTATAAAACACTGCAATGTAACAATAAAATCTACAGTATAAAAGCAATCAATACACAATTTAAAACTATAAATATTACAACATATTAAAGTGCTAGTGTTCAGTCCTTGACGTACAGTCAGCTTTTTGATATTCCTCAAATGTCCGGGCAGCCGGCTCGAGCTGTAGTAGTGGGACCCAGATGGCGGGGCTTGCTCTCAGATAAGCTGTCAGATATCAATGGTGGCAGTGGGGGTGGCGGCTCTGAAAGCCTGGAGGAAGAGCTCCATTTTACAAGCCCTGCGGAACTGCAAGAGGTCCCGCAGGGCCCTGATCTCCTCCGGGAGCTCGTTCCACCTGAGTGGAGCCACCACCGTGAAAGCCCTAGCCCTGGTTGTCACTAGTCTGGCCTCCTTGATGTTCTGGAGGACCAGCTGATTCTGGGTCCTCGATCGCAGTGCACTCTGGGGGACATATGGGGAAAGGCGGTCCCTCAGGTATGCAGGTCCCTGGCCATAAAGGGCTGTAAAGGTGATGACCAGCACCTTGAACTGAATCCGGTATGCTATAGGCAGCCAGTGCAGTTCTTTTAGGGTGGGCTGGATGTGTTCCCGCAGAGGAAGACACAACAGCAGCCTCACGGCTGCATTCTGCACCAGCTGCAGCTTCCGGATCTGGGACAAGGGCAGCCCCATGTAGAGGGCATTACGGTAATCCAATCTCGAGGTGACCGTAGTGTGGATCATTGTTGCCAAGTTGTTGCGTTCAAGGAAGAGAACCAACTGCCTAATCAGCCTAAGGTTGTAGAAGGCTGACTTGGCAGTGGCTGCTTCCTGGGCCTCCATTGTTAAGGAGACATCTAGGAGCACTCCCAAACTCCAGATGAGAACAATCCTAAAAGAAATCAACCCTGACTGTTCCCTGGAAGGCCAGATCCTGAAGTTGAAGCACAAATACTTTGGCCACCCAATGAGAAGGGAGCACTCACTGGAGAAGAAGACCCTGATGCTGGGAAAGATTGAAGGTCAAAGAAGACGGGGACGGCAAAGGAGGAGATGGTGAGACAGTGTCATCGATGCAACGAACATGAAATTGAGCAAGCTTCAGAGGACGGCGGAAGACAGGAGGGCCTGACCCAACATTGGCTTCTATTATGTTCTTAATAGGAAATACATTCACTGTTGCCAAGGTTTGGCCTCCTGGGAGTTGTCACCCACAGCTAAATACATGTCCTATTGAGAGCAACACTGTGCAAAGATCTGAATGCAAATCCTTTCCCTCTGCACGGCCATATAGGATGTGCAGGTTCAGTCTAAGGCAAGGCTAGCCCTGTAGCCTGCAGCACTGGGGAGTGTATTCCCTCTTCCCTCATCAGGGGAGGGACAGCAGATCAGGGGGAGTGACAGTTACAAACTGATGCAAAATATGTAGGGAAGAGTGGAAGGTAAGGGGAAGGGGTTACAGGCCTTTCTGCATTCTCAACCCCCACCCCCCCACAACCTTCTGCAGTGGAAATCCAGAATCTTTAGAATTTGGTGTTGCACTCGCTCACTCAGTTACTATGTTGCTCTTAAATGTATGTCTTTCTTTGCCTCCGCCACCATCTTTAGGGTTGTCATGTCTTCCAAATAAATTTAACACCCTGTAACAGTTCCCCTCAGCTTCATTCAAGACTTACAGCCTGTTCCCATTTCTCAGCTGGAAACAAACACAACAGAACAAAACAGTCTCTATTATTTGAAGTTGGTCTTAATAGGAACCATTTTTTTTAAAGCAATGCATAAAATCTCCAATGGATTTATTGCAGAGTTCCAAATCAGTGCTCTAAGATAACTACAGTGAAACATTTCAGGGATTTCACGGGTACAACTTAATCAGCTTTATTCTAAATTTTGTTTGTAGTGAAAATGTAGAACCTGCATGAGCTGCAAGTATGCATTTTCTGTTCACTCCTGATGTACTCTAGCCCAAAATAACTGAAACCACAAGAGTCTGGAGCATCCTTCTCAGTGAAGCTGCCCTGAGAGAGAAAACAGGCCCTGCTCCTTTCTCCCCAGATGCTGGGAGGAGGACCCTGGAAGGTTGCTGGGTCTTCTCTCTGCAGAGAGCCTCCACCCTGCACCCACTCTGATTCATCTGTGTGGAAACCAGGGCGCCAAAACCACAAACTCAAGGCTCTGAAACCCTCACCCTTCCGCAGAGGTTGGCTCAAACTCATGAAAGGGAAGGGGCTTCCATGCTCCATCAATTCCAGAATGACTCCCACTTAGATGCAACCTGTCTCAGTTCTACTGTCAAACACAAGGGCAGAGAAGCAACACAAAATCCCACTGGTATTTTTTTGTAGGGAGGGGAATGCTGAAAGTACCAAGGAAGCTCCATAGACCTTATTAAATGTGACTGGCAATTTGCCCTACCCCAAGAGTTCATGGTAAGAAAAGAAATTGATCCCTACCCTTGAAATAATAAATAAATAAATAAATAAATACGACTCACTATCTAGATTTTATGGGGACAGTAAGGGACATAGAATTCAAAACTCAGCTCAGGTGTGAAATGGCTTGACTGATAATCCCATCAGTACCAGTCCTGTAGTGTACAAGATAACTCTGAAATAATGACTGTACTCCCAGGAAATGAAGGAAAGCAGGTTTGGGAGACCAGCCCTCTCTTGCCTCCCTTTCCTGTTATTATCGTCACCTGAAGACAAATGGAAATGGAAGGAAGAGGAGAGAGACCAGTGGAAATTCCAAGGGGGCCTAAACCCTGTACTTCTAGTCCGAGCAGAAGGCGATCAAAGGTCTGGCCTGTTTTGAACAGCTGCCAGCAGCCAAAAGCTCCTTGGGAAGCCCCCAGGCAGGCCGCGGAAGGCTGTTCCCGTTCCCTGCTCCCCTGGAACACCAGATATTCAGAGTCACACACTACCTCTGACAGCCAGTGATCTCCTGGGTGGGTTGGTCTAACCTTTTAAAACAAAACCAAAAAATGCCCACGTTTGTGGCCGAGAGCCCCTTCTGAGGGTGAATCCCACCCAATCCATCACAGAGTGTATAAAGACGTTAGTTCCCTTTGTCTGTCCTGGATCTACTGCCCACTGGCTCCATCGGCACGATGGCTTATTATCTCTAAGACACCTCAGTAGGCATCCAGAGGTGTAAGAAGACTGAAGACTCCTTGGCACTCCCACTGTCCCTCTCTGCCTCCCCGTCCCCCTTCTGTACCCGAGAACACCCCACCATACACCCCACCCCCACCCCCCGGCAGCGGACGAGAAGGGAGGCTTCTTCCGTCTGCCTAAAGTTGGGCAGGGGAAGGCGAGGGGGTACCTGCGTACGGTTGGTCCAAGCTCTTGAAAGGAGCGTCCAGGCTGGGTGAGGAGGGCATGCCACATCCCCCTTTTGACTTGCTGCTCTCCATAAAGAGAAAGAGCAAAGTGGAGCAGCTCCCTTCTGGAGCAGAACCAAAACTCCGGCTGGCCTTTTAAAGCCTCCCCTTTGTCTCCCTGCCTTTGCCGTTGACAGCCATGAGGCAACACTCTCTATTTTTACTCCCTGAGCACCATCGCTAAGCAGTCTGATGGACACCGTCAACTGTCAAACACTCGCTCCGTGACTGGGGTTTAAAATAAGACAACGCGTCTGCCTTGCCACAAAAGCTGTGGTGCTGAGGAGGAGCACCAGACAATGGGGGCAGGGAAGCCACTGAGGATCATCTGGGAAGTACAGTCATCTCCCCCCCCCCCAGTGCTCACACGTGGCTTTGTCAAGCAGGACATGAGTGCTTATTGTCCCCTAAGGGACTGCAATGCCAGTAGCTCTCTAAACCCCCCCCCCATCTCTTTGTAAAATGAACAAATAAGGGATGGTGGGCAGTCTGTTTCCCCCCCCCCCCGAGGAGGTTATTGCTTGTTCTTCCCCTGTTTGCCCCATTTGCCTCTGAAATGCATGCGTGAGTCTAATTTTTAAAACATCTGAGCTGAACATCTCCCTCCTGTTCCACCGACGTTATCTTCCCAGGGCAGCCTGGCTTCAATGTTGGCTGAGGAGGAAAGAGCTTCAAGCAACAGAAGAAACAGTAAAGTAAATCTGGACAGGTTCATTTCCCCTTCCCCACCCCCCTTTTTGATGTTAAAATTAGCACATAAACCCCTTTCTTTGGGACAGACACGTGAGTGAACAAATATGGCTGTCCCCGTGAGACCTAGTTGGGCCCCTCAGTAGTTGGGGGCCCTGGAGTTATGCAGTAGTTGGTTCCCCCATCTTGGGGTTGTATATTTTTTTGTTCAGACTTGTCAGTTCTCAGCCTGGGCTGAATTCAGACTCTCTTTCACCCGTTGCAGACTACAACCCTTGAATTTCAAGAGGGTTGTCTGTTGAACACATTAATTGAAACCTTCATGATGTAAATGCCCAATGTAAAGTGTAGTCTGAATCTGGTTAATACCCTTTATTTTATTCCACTGCTGACTCTGGTTACACAAAGTTTTGAACAACACAGAAACCTGTCACTGTGTTAAGGATAAATGGGGTCAGAGGTGCAGTCAGTAGGTTCTCGAGATTTGCAGATGGAAAGTCCCCGAACGGGACTCGCACTCCCTCCAGCCTCCCTCTCCAGGTGGCCAGGGCGAGCTTTATGGGCCCCGCCTCTTTCTCCCAGACTGACCAATTGCGTTCTGTGTCATTGAACTTCCTGGACACATATGCCAAGGGGTGCAGGAGCCTGAGGTAAACAACACCTTGAGTCGTTCGAAAGCCTCTTGGTACTGCCTACTCCAAGCCAACGCCGCCCCCGGCTTCGTTGCCTCTGGCCCCTTCCCCTTCATTTTCAACGTCCGTTAGGGGCAAGCTGATCTGGGCGAAGTTGGGCAGAAAATTTCTGTAAAAGTTCGTAAACCCGAGTAACTGGCGCCTAGTTCGGGGAAGTCCCCAGCCCAGCACATCCCGTACTTTCCCCGGGTCCATCCCCAAGCCCTTATCGGAGATCCGATACCCCAGAAAGTCAATGTGTGACTTGTGAAACTCGCACTTAGATAGTTTTGCAAACAGTTTGTGCTTGTGCAACGTGGTTAGAACTTCCCTCACCAATTTCACGTGGGAGGGTAGGTCGGGGGTGTACAGCAAGTTATCATCTAGGTAAACTAGCGCCCCCTTGAACAAATGCTTGTGCAACACCTCATTGATCAGATTCATGAAGATCCCCAGAGCCCCCTGAAGACCGAATGGCATCACACGATACTCAAACTGGCCCAAGGGTGTATTAAAGGCAGTCTTGTGTTCGTCCCCCTCCCTGATGCGGACCCGAAAGTAAGCATCACAGAGATACAACTTCGAGAAAAAATAAATTTGCGTAGTTCGTCCTTCTCGGCCGGCCCCATCGCATAAATGCGCCCCTTGGGTAGTTTTTGGCCAGGCAATATTTCAATGATGCAATCCGAGTGTCTGTGGGGTGGAAGCTCATCGGCTTCTTCGAACACCCTGGTCAGGTCATGGTACTCGGGGGGAATGGATTGCAGCTCCTCTTGAGCCAAACACGCTCTAGGTGTTTCCACTACTGGCTGCTGGCCCCACTGCGGGTTCCACCAGTGCCCTTGACACCGAGGTGAGATGAAATGCACTTTCCCTTCATCCCACAGAATGTATGGATCATGTGCATGCAGCCAAGGGCCCCCCAACACCAGCGGAAATCTGGTGGCTGGGTGATCATGAACGACCGTTCCTCCCAGTGATCCCCCGCCCCAACCCGCAAAGGCACAGTCTCGGATTCACATGGTTCTTTCATAGTGGAACCATCCATTTGGGTAAGAATCAAAGGGTCTTCCAGCTTCACCACCCCTGCCTCCAGCCCTGTAACTAAGGAAGGGATGATGAGGTCCCTCCCACACCCCGAGTCAATGAGTGCTCTTACACGGATATGCGTCCCAAAAGCTGGGTGAACCAGAGTCACAGTCACGAAAAACAAGGGGGGGGGAGCTGCTCACCACTTTAGGTGTCTCCAGGATTGGGCCCTGCTGCTCTGCGCCTCTCACAGCAGGACCTGGCCTTTTCCCGCCGGCTCGGGGTCTTCCTCGCTGGAGTCCTCTCCCAAGTCTTCAGGGGCTGCCTACAGTGCTTTGGCAAATTTTGGCTTCCCTGTAGACTTCCTGACCGGGGTGGCAAGGCGTGCTTTCGCGGGATCGCTCGGCCCCTGCGCCTAGCGATTGCTGGTGTGATTGTGCTGCTTCTTTGCCACGCTGCAGGATGGTCATGTGATCGGCACCTCCCCCCTAAACACGGGACCTCGACGGGACTGATCGCGCAACTGTGCGTTATTTTGTTCCGGGGCAAACAGCCAAGCTTTCCCCCCGCATTTTCCTGCCCGTGTGACCGGGGCCTTCATCACTCAAACCACAAAGTAGACCTCAGGGTCTCCGTCGAACGTGGCTTTGATCAGATCTTTCGGGCAATGTTGCACTGGACCTCTTGGGCTGCCCGGCCATGGCGCTGGAGCCAGGGCCTCCCCTGGTCCCAGGCCGGGTATATCCTCAGGTCTGGGTGGTGGCGGGGGAGCTGGTGGGGCAGCAGGAACTACCGGTGCTGCTGGTGGAGCTTCCTTCTCCACCCAGATGGCTTGGATCACCAACTGCGGGATTGCTTGGATGACTTTCTCCAACTCCCGTTGCAGTTGACGCCTTACCCGATCCGCCACCTCCATTCTATGGGCCAGTTTCAGTCCCTCATCCGGGGACATGCGCCCACGCCTTCAACAATTTAGGGAACCTGATACACAGCTTGGTATAACCTGATACACAGCTTGTTTTTATTTGACTGACAGTTTAAAAATTCAAAAAGCCCTTTTGTTGTTGAGGGGGGGAGGAATGGGAACTGCAGAGAAAATATTTTCCATGTGGATGAGATGAGGACAATCCAAAATCTCCTACCCACACCTCAGCCATGCAAGCTTTGCTGGACCATTTCTCAAACTCGTCAGCAAGGTGGGTGTGGGAGAGAGGGAAGCTGGGGGGGGGGGAAGCAATGCTTCCCAACAATAATGGACTCTGTGGCAAATGAGAAAGGTGTGGAAAAGATCAAATGGTAGTTTCCTGTTGGTTTATTTTTTAAACTCATTTTCACCCCATCCTGAACCAGTGACTGGATCAACATCACCCCAGTAATGAAGTTTCATGACATGCTAGCATTTGAACCCTGGTCTCTGTTAGAGAATAAGCTTGATATTTGCTTTATGGACTGCATATTGCTACAGACAATGGACTGTGCACACACACATAGGCTCAGAAAGCTGTACACTTTAAGTCACCTGTTGTGATGCCACACATAGAGGGTGCCTGCACATACCTTACATGTAAATATGGTTTCAGCTACACAGTTGCCCAGCCTGGTGAAGAAGCACAAACCTCCATTATTGTGAGCAATGGAACAACAACCCCAGGAGGAGACAGCCCCCATTGCAGAACTGTTTGTAGTCATGTACTACCCATCGTCTGCTTTGTTCCTGAGCTGGTATTTCCTGCCAAATGGACAGTTGTTTATCAAAGAGACTGGCCCGCTTCATCAGCACTACAATGGAGCATCCTGATGCCTAGGTTTCACTGTTGTCCAGATGCCATATTTTGAATAAGGTTTTAGGTTACAATATTGGCCACCCCTCTTAGGGAACCTCCTCTTCCCACATGCAACCAATAGGATTGTTTTTGGGACGGACTAACAGGTAGGTGGGTCAAGAGGTTGGCACAGTTACCACGCATCTCTTGAACCCCCTATAAAAGGAGAGGACCAGTCACCTGGCCCCTCCTACTCGATCAACTAGCATCTCCCCTGCAACAACCCCTGTCTGCTTTAACCCCTCTTAAGTCCCCCTTGCTGTCCCCAACCCTTGCCTCTACTTTGATCTCTTGATCTGCAGTCAAGAGACCTCCACACAGTCCGGCTAGTTCTGGTAGTGTGGATCCTTTTATTTTCCATTTCTTCCCATCCATTCTTCACTGGAACAACCAAGCTGCAAGACAGATAAGTATCGCCCACCATCACCCTACCTGCTAATGCAAAAGTGCTTATTTCTTACTGTAAATCTTAGAAACTTGATTGAATGTGTGAGTGCATCAGTATTGTTTGTATGAGATATATTTTCAAGTAAAAGACATCTATTTTAACTACAACAGCCTTGAATCCTTTACAGGTAACCAGGGGTCATTTCGTAGAAAAAGAGCTAGGGGGACTCATTAGCAGAACTCATTAGCATATGCCACACCCCCTGACATCACCGGAAGTGTGTCCTCCCCACAGCTGGCGGCGACCTCCAGCGGGCACCAGCAGGGAGCTCCAGGCCCCGCCCTCCCGCACCTCATCCGGGGGGATGGCGTCCCCCCCCAAATGACCCCTGCAGGTAACCCTTGGTGGGAACAGGACCTTGGTATAAACTGGCAAGAACCCATTTATAAATTGCCAATAGCTGTAAATAAAG